CCAATGACACCAAACTTGGGGGCAAAGCATCCACGCCAGAAGACAGGCAGGTGATCCAGGCTGACCTGAACAGGCTCAGCAAATGGGCAGACGAGAACCTGATGGTGTTTAACACCGAAAAATGCAAGGTTCTCCACCTTGGGAAGAAAAACCTGCAGCATCCTTATAGGCTCGGCAGTACTACGCTAGCTAGCAGTGTGGAAGAAAGAGACTTGAGGGTCGTCATTGACCATAAGATGAACATGAGCCTGCAATGCAATGCTGCGGCTAGTAAAGCAACCAAAACTCTGGCTTGCATCCATAGATGCTTCTCAAGCAAATCCCAGGATGTCCTTCTCCCCTTGTACTTGGCCTTGGTGAGGCCGCAGCTGGAGTACTGCGTCCAATTTTGAGCTCCACAATTCAAAAAGGATGTGGAGCAGCTTGAGAGTCCAGCAAAGAGCCACACACGTGATCAGAAGTCAGGGAAACAGACATTATGACGACAAGCCTAGAGCCATAGGGCTTTTTAGCTTGGAAAAGCGCAGGTTCAGGGGTAATCTGATGGCCACCTATAAGTTTATCAGGAGTGACCACCAGGATGACGAGGTCGAACGGTCATAAACTACTACAAGACCATTTCAGGCTGGACATAAGGAAGAATTTCTTTACTGTCCAAGCCCCCAAAGTCTGGAACAGCCTGCCATCGGAGGTGGTTCAAGCACCTACATTGAACACCTTTAAGAGCAAATTGGATGCTTATCTTGCTGGGATCCTATGACCCCCAGCTGACTTCCTGCTCTTTGGGTTGGGGGCTGGACTCGATGATCTTCTGAGGTCCCTTCCAACCCTAATGTCTATGAAATTAGAACAGGCTTGTTGGCCCTTCTGATATGTGTCTAGTGCACTGAATCTTAAGTTACTGGCTAAATTTCAGGTAAGTTTACTTGCATGTTCATCCAGAGACTGATGGAACTCTGGAGGCTGATTGCTTGTTTCAGTGTTCCAAAGTGTCTGACCCCTCTGAAATAGTTGACCCCCTTTTAAAAGTTTTTGTGACCTCATCACGAAGTTCCAACCATAGAGCAGTATCCTCAGAACACGGCTGTTGTGGACTGGTTAGTTTGAAATATGTCAGCAACGTCAGGTGAGGGGGCACTAGGGTTATGCAGGAAGAGTGAGCTCCCCCCTGCCTCAGGAATTTCTCCAGCCTTGGTCACGTAGCTGAGTGGTTCCCAACCTTTTCAGACTGTGGAGCAGCAACCTGCGAACCAACATACCGCAGACGGAAAGTGGCCAGCATACTGCGGACTGGCAGCCAACTCTTTGTTTATACTCGATATAAAAAAAGGGTTGGCTGCTAGTCCACAGTATGCTGGTCACTTCCTGTCTGGCAGCCAATCCTTTGCATCCTGGTACCGGGCTGCAGTCTGGAGGTTGGGAACCTCTAACCAAGTGACCAGGTGGACTTAAATCATGCAGCTAGAGTAAACCAGTGGAGCGGGGCTGGGCTGAGGCTGTCTTAGATCAGGAGATGGAGAAAGAGGATTTTTTCACAAGCTGTGTAAATAAGTCACAACAGGCCATTCACTAATAGGGGCTCAATCTTACAGGGTTCCCAGAGGCTCCTCTATAGATATAGTAAAAATTAAAGAAAACCACTCCACCCAATGGAACCCAGTGCTCGGTCTAGAACAGCATTTCCTAACCTTTTTTGCCCAATGGCACACTTAGCTAAATAAAAAAGCACCATGGCACACTGGATGCGGAGCGGAGGACGTGTCACATGGCTTGCCAGACGCCGACTGTGGGGGGAGGAGGGCAGAAGGCACGTGGCCAGCTGGACACCGACAGGGAGAGATGGCATGCAGCCAGTGATGCACAGCCAACTGGATGACATTTGGGCTGGAGCCATGCCCCCTATATGTCTGCAGCAGCAGCAGGCGGGGGGCGTGGCTCCAGCCCAAAATACTGCGGCACACCTGGACGTGCCTAATGGCACACCATTTGGGAAACACTGGTCTAGAACATCCCATTAAGCATCTCTGTGATGGTTAGTTTCAGTTCTCAAACTGTGGATTTGTTTCCAGAGATAACATCCTTGCTAACTTCAGTATATGGAGATGGGAGATAACAGACCTGATTACCTCCCCATCAGCCCTATTGTCTCTCTGCAAGTTTGCGTACAGAGTCAAGCCCTTATCTTTCTCTAAAAGTGAAAAGTATCAAGAAGTTAAATAAATAAAGGATCTCACTTTTTGTAGAAAACAAAGATTAAATCAAGCATTCCTGACCAGTGATTTAAATCGTGATTTTTAGATCAAATCCACCCTGAAAATACCTTTTTAAATTCCTTTGTAAGTTAACAAAGCATTTTAAAATGCAGTGTCTGGCTGTAGACAAGGGTAACTTCTAATTTTAAAAGTTGAAGGGGAGCTGCAGCTTGGGATCTTAGCTGTTACAGTAGTTCTTACCTCTGCATGCTCCTGTAGCCATACAGGTGAGCTGAATTGGGAGTGCTCAACTGCCACATGAGGGGTGCAGGGCTGGTCCACAGGCTGGATTGGACCCTGTGTGCAGGATCAGGCCCCAAGGCCTTAATGCCACCCCTGCCCAATCCCACCTTTGAGGATTGGGCTCTGGGGGCCTCGTACTGCCTCTTTTAGTCCTATATGTGGTTATCAGGCTCCAGCAGCCCCATGCTGCCTCCACCCAGTCCTGCATGTGGGGATCAGGCTTCAGGGGCCCTGCACCACTTCAGCCCAACCCCCTGAGTCCCCCATGGAGCCCTGTGGGCTGGATGACACAGTGCTGGGTGTGGATCTAGGTCAGAGGTTGAACACCCCTGTGTATACAGTTATAGCTTGTTACAAATTATTTTTGCTTCTGTCAGTTTGGGACTTCTAAACTTCATTGGGTAAGGAGCAATCTAGCATACTTTGTCTGTGAAGCACCACACACACATGTGGTGTTCTAAACTAATTAAGAAAATATTTCAGCAAATATGATGGGCTATGTGGATGTGGTTAGCTGTGAAGATGGGGGATTACAATTATAAGTCATTGTGGTAACTTAATCGTTCATTACAGAATGAAACTTACCTGTGGTTTTTAACCTCCATATTCAGTCCAATATTAAACAAGGATCCAAAAATAGCTCTTCATAGGGTAATATGCTCTCTTGCAGTACAGTTCACCACAAGAGGCAGCAGAATTGAACTCCAACATCCTCCAAGATGTGTAATTAACTTGTGGCAAAATTACAAGATCTCTTTTGCAACATTTAGCTTGTCATTAGGATAGTATAGCACTTTAGTGCCAACAGAGATCTTCCCTCCCCAAATTTGTCAATCCTGCAGTGGTCCTCTGGACAAGCAGTTCTCAGCTGGGGGCCCACAGCCCCTTGGGTGGCTGTGAGCAGGTTTCAGGGAGTCCACAGGGGCTGCAGATCTGTCACGATTGTGATCTCAGAGGTCAGCTGGGGCAGCCTGCACCTGGGATGAGCCTGCTACTACTGCTGGTACTACATGCATGGAAAAACACAGATTTTTTCTTTTAAAGGAGAAAAACATGGGAAACCACAGGTTTCTCCTTGCAGGCTGGAAGTGTTCCAGCCTGCAAGGGGCTGCTTGGGGCTGGTGGGGAGTGGGAGAAAGCCAATATGGCAGGGATTGCCACGTGCATGTGTGTGTGGGCACATATGCACGTGGCAGCCAGGCAGCGGTAGAGAGCAGCTTCCACAGTTCTCCACAGGTAAGTCGAGGGGGGCAGGGAGCCATAGGCTGCACGTTAGATGGGCAAGGAGGGGCACATGCCCCTCCCCCGATTTCTGCAGACTGGCTAGCAGGACCTAGCGCAAGAGGGTGGAGAAGGACAGTGAGACATGTTGCTGCTGACACCAGGACCCCTGTGCCAGCCACACTACTAGCAGTGGGAGGAGTACAGACCAAGGGGCCACGCTGGCCTCATCTCCTCCCACCATGAGAGGGTGCGAGGACGGCACCACAGGTGGCCTATGGGGAGTGGACCATGTTCCTCCCTCCCATCCCCCTGCTGTGAGTTGGGAGTGAGGGGCACTGGCAGGGCTCGGGTGGTGTGGGGGGTTGCAGGTTATGAGTCCAAAAAGATTGAGAACCACTGCTCTAGACCTTTCTTCTTGAAAAAGTCCCTTGATATAATTGCAAAGTGAATTGGTTGTAAGTCTCCATCTAGTGGCTGAGAGGGAAACCTTGGCATCCCTTCCCAGTTCTGAACATCTCTTGTAATATACTACTACACAAAGTACATTTTAGAAATTAGAAGTGGGAAAGGTCAGTGATGCTACTTGGCCTGTCTCCTTAGTGTTGCAAGAGTGTTCCCTGGGTTTGTTTCCTAATGGGCTTTCCTGCCTGATTTTTTTTTTAAAACCCTTAAGTCATTTTCTTTGGATCCGAACTTAAGCCCAGTATGCTTTGCATCATCCTCTGTCCACAATTCAATGTGTTTCAATCCTGTGAAATGCTTGCTTCATATTAATGATAGTATGGAGGTGGGATCAGAGGTCTGTAATCCACTGTACAACTAGTGGCATAATAAGAACCCTTGATGTTGACTGAATCTTTGCCTCTCGTTAAATAAACCTCTTGTTTTCCAGTTGTAAAAATGCTAAGTATATAAAGCCTTTAACATATCTGACAGTACTCGAGCCCTGAAATACATTCACTTCAGTAAATTTCTTCTTCTTTTCCCAGATACATTAGAGAAGACCTTTCAAGAACTGGGTTATGAAGTTCATTGTTACAAATATTTAAGTGTGGAGGCCATGAATCAGACATTGCAGGATGCTGCAAAACTGCAAAAGCACAAAGACTATGACAGCTTCATTTGCATATTAGTCAGCCGGGGGAGCTCTCAGAGCATCTTCTGTACGGACCAGCCCTTTCCTGGATTCTCCTTGGACCGGGTGAAGCAGTTTTTTACTGCAGATTCCTGCCCTAGTCTCCTAGGGAAACCAAAGCTCTTCTTTATTCAGAGCTACATTGTAACAGCAACCAATCATGAACCCACCAGTCTGCTGGAGATCGATGGTGATGAACCGAAAATCAATTCTAATGCCAAAAGGACTTGGAACTGTATTCCCAAAGCAGCAGACATCTTCTGGAGTCAATGCAAAGTGGATGTGTCTACACTAGAAAGGTCCCCAACCTCATCCTCCTTTTATTTACACTGCCTGGCTGAGATCCTGCGAAATCCTCAGAAAAGGTGAAAGAAACTAGATAACCATTTTTGCTGAACATGCTGTCCCACAGGAATTGAGATACGAGTTTTTAATCTCACTTGGTACTGGAATACATCTTGATAAGGCAAAACAGAGAAAGGTGGTACCCAGGCCTGGAGGAATGGTTCAAATGCATCTACACATCGATGGGGAAAGGAAGGTACTCTAGAGGTGGGGTGGAGCTTCTGATTCTGAAATGAACTCTGAGTTTGTGTTAGGCCTGGCATTATTTCAAGGGTGAGAGGGAAAGGCCCAGGAACAGGTATGCGAACACTCAGGATTTACATGCTTTGGGGGAATAACTGCTTCCCCAATATACAACATACAGAATAGGCCTGCTATTCAAACTGTGGATAATCTTGCTGTTAATCTTAAACAGCAAAATCCTCAAGTAATAAGATGGCGCTTGCATGTAAACAGGCCCTTCTCCATACAGGGCCTCTTGTCCTTCTCCACTAATTTATGTTCTCACAAAGAGACACATGTCCATTTATAACTCTAAGTTGAAGTTAACTGAAGTAGCTTCCCAGTCTGCCTGGCAAGGGGAGAGTGAGTCAGCAAAACTGATCCGTACCTACTGACAAATCCCCAAATCTGTCACTTGACAACAGTATGTCAGGAATGAAAGGAGACCAATTGTTGATTGTGTGTCAGTATATTTGAGGTATAATATGGGCATTTATGAAAGAGGATCTGCAGCCTTGAGGATCTGAGCTCAAACTTGTCTTAAAGGCTGATGTTGAAAACATTCTTTCCATGAGTCTGGAGCTGCTTGCTGTTTGGTAGCTTCTTTGATTTAAAGTTATGATCTTCTGCTGTGTTCACTAATGACAGATGCTAATTTTTCTTCTTATCCCTGTAGAAAACTCTCCTTACTGGATATCCATATTGAGCTGAACAGAAGAGTCTATGATCAGAATAAGTTCTGTCACCCAACACAACATTATTCACTCCTGTTATGGCACACCTTGAGGAAAAAACTCTTTCTTTCTCCAAGTTAAGAGCTAATGGAACTTCCATGGAAAGGTAGCAAATCAGAGACACTGTTAAGATAGGCGTATGTCTGCCTGGGCTTTTATGATATGCCTGTTGCGGTAGGATCGGGGTATCTAGAAACGTTTTGGATGGTTCACCAGTGGAAGTTCTTAATCACATAGTTTAAGAAACACAATCAATATTTAGTTCTATAGCAGATCTGATAACCCAGTCAACAGGTAAACTGCGTCAAAAGGATTCTTAAAAAAGCCACATGTTTGTTTTTAGTTATTTATTTCAGTTTTCAATTTAACAACAAGATTTACTTTTTGAAACTTACCTACTAGAAGTGTCTGTCCAAAGCTCTGGGTGTTCCTGCTAATATTTAAAGGTGAGAATCTGCTAAGCAATCAAGATTCACTACTGGCCACGTGTACAATCCTAAGTCATTCTTAGTCCATAATTGAAGTGGGGGAAAACACATTTCCGAGTAAAGGGCTGTCAGAGAGGATACTTCCTGATAGCTCCATCTCTTTTGTAGCAAAGGAGCTCCAGTGTTTCCATTGATCATTGCAAGGTGACATGAGTGAAAAACAAGTCTCTCAGAAAATGTGAACTGAAATCATTTAAGTTGAAACCAATACCTTGCCTTGTACCTAGAAGTCCCCAAACTATCAATATATCTCACAAACCACTAGTGCTCCTGCACAGTAGATTGCCATGTTCTGGACTAACTTTACCTTGTGAATGACCCAAAATATGGTCTTATAATAATTTGGTTACATGGTGATAAAGGCCTGGGTAAGGGTAGCACGGTCTGCATCTGGAAAGTCATACTCAGACGCAGTCTATCCAGACAGATGAAGAAAAGAGCTGTTTACCACAGCTGAGTCTGAGCATCCAGCAGCAATCCAAGGCCTGATGACACCTGTTTAGCTGTGAATGCCAGCTTGTAAATAAATTGCTCACTATCCATTATGGATGCTGATTATGAGTAGCATAATACCTCTGGCTTTTCCCTACTGTCCTAGCACTAAAACACTGTTATCCAGAGTAAACCTTAGACAGGTACCTGAAATCTTTAGCAAGATACTAGATTGCTTTTCCCCCTGCAGTAGGTGGCTCATTCATAATGATGACATACAAGGTATTATCAACTTACTGCAGATACTGTAAACACTTCATATGCACATTCTCCACCCACCCCCCTTTTCACTATTTTTTGCATACAACAAACAAATTGCATTTATAACCTCATTGTAATAGCTGTCTCTTTTTCCATGATGGAACATAAAGAGCTTCATTTGTAAATGTAGCAGTTCTTTTCTTCTCTATCGAAGCAGTTTTTAGATGGTCAAAAGTTTTGAGATGATTTATCTAGGTTTCAATTCTATGAAAGGCAGATCAGCTGTACTACTCAAGTGACTACTCACTTGCGTAGCTCAGCTGATCTACCTTTTGTAGGACTGATACCTGGATGAAACACCTTAAAACTTCTGTTACTAAACTGTATTTCCATCCATAGCGTGGTTCCCCTTTTAAAATAAGCTCTATTGGAAACTAATGTTTTTGGTGTATCTTCCACCTAGAAAACAATATTAGGCCCTGACTTGACTAGAAATTATTTTCATTATACCAACAATCCTCATGCTGTGCATGCATTTTATACCAATATAAAACTCCTTGGGCTGGCAAAATTTACTATTGGATCCATAAGCAAAATAAACTACAGAAGAACTTTTTTGCTGGTAACATGACATTTAAGCTACAACAAGAAACGCACCCCTCGCTTGCATAGCTACACTGGCAAAATTTTTGGTGTAGACCAGGTCTGCAAAAGCTGCTAGAGGCAAAATGCTGCTGAGAGTAATGTGTTGACCAATAATCTTGTATAAACAAGTCATTATTTTGTTTCCCAGTTCCAACTTCCTTGGCTTGACTTTCTCTCACAGCCAGACTGTTTTGTCATTTTCCTCCAAAAGAATCAATATTATCTTTGAATGGAGCCTGTAGCTCAAACAAGTAAATTTTAAAATTTGTCCAATCAAGAAAAATATGCTTGATACTGAAGAACCAAGCATGAACTCAAAAAAGGAACCAAGATGCCTTGAAGAGCTATATATTTATTTATATTTATATATTATTTTGTATAATATTGATATATGCATTCATACAATACATTCTTTTTTTACACATCCACTTTTTTAAAATACCTTTTTGTTCAGTCTTCATTTTGTATTCTGTTTTGTTTGACATGTGGCGAGGACGGGGTGTCAACAATACAGCCTGTGGGTCAGATCTGGCCTGTGGGTCTCAGACCAATCCCATGCACTGCATAGAGCACATGCTGGATAGCATGCAGACCTGGTCTGGTACCTGCTGCATGACCACAGTAGACTGGCTTTGTGCACTGGCTCCGGGGCCTGATCAGGCCCATAGATTGTCCCTATGTGCAGCAGACAGTGTGCAGGGTGGGTCTGGCATGGGTGCCACATACAACTTGCACCCTGTGCCAGCCACACATGCCAGTGTGCAGTGCGAACCCTGGAATTAGGTCAGCACAAATTGCATGTGGTGTGAGGGCTGGCCCTGGTGTGCACATTGCATGCAGCATGGAAGGTCTGGCCATCTGGGGTGTGCACTGTTTCAGTGCAGACACCTGATGCAGTACATGACCTGCACCATCTCAGCACAAGCCCCAGACTGGAGCCAGGGAGTACTGTATCATCTCCATGTGCCAGACTGGCCCTGGACCAGCTCACAGGCCAGATGAGTGACATGGGGCAGTCCATAGGCTGGATAAGGCCCACAGATCCCTTTCCCCCTCTGCATGCTGTATCTAGCACTCCCTGTATGTGTGACACCTGCCATGGGGCCTGCACTGCACACAGCATTTCTGGAGCAGGCACCACCTGGTTCACGACCTGGATTGGTGCTGAATCCAGTATGTGGGGGGATTATTCCAGAGTGGCGCAGTGTGTATCCTGGGCCCTGCCAGTCCGTCTCCTGCTGCATGCTGCCTATTGGATTTGGTCCATGGGCTGTATTTCTGACACCCTGATATATGCAGTTTATTTCTAGCTCTGGATGTTTCATAATGTTTCATAATATAATCAAACATTAGCTTATTGTCTTTTATAGCAAATAAAAATGGAAATGGTAGAAATGAGAGAAGAAGCGTAGAAACAGGGGAAAGAATTAGTGAAAGTGAAAAAAGAAAGGAAAAAGAAAAGCATAAACAAAGTGGAGGGTGGCAGAAAGAAGAAAAACCTAAAGGAGAAAGACTAGGAGGAGGCTGAAGGGAGAAGGTATTGAAGAGCATTAAGGGAAAAGTGGTGTTGTAGGAGACAGAATGGAAAAATGAGAAAAAGGAGGATGGGGGAGAGAGGAAGCAGGGAAAGGAAGAATAGAGATTTTTGCAGTACCCAAGAGCAAAAAGAAAAAAAATCCTGTGAGTGATGGTAGCAATTTGGCAACAGGATCTCTTTCTGTCTCTTTAAGCTGTTTTGTGCCCCTAAGCAGGTGTGTGGAAGTTGTCCACCTCTGCCTTACTGTACACTTAAAATATGTACATGTACATAGAAATGTAAATATGTAGAAACTGAAAAGTTGCACATGTGAATTGCATGGGGTGCTTTGCTGCTCTCTCTTGCTAGCATTCTGTGGCCAAACAGCTTTCAGATTATATCGCTTGTATTCAGGAGCCAGTAAAAGAGTAAGGTTTCAGATCAGCATGTTAACTGGATATGAGCTACTAGGGTGGGTCAGAAGGAGCAGGGAGAGGCAATGACAGCATATTACAGTCTGCTAAAATTCAGCCTTCTGAGCCTGCTGTCAAAAGAGATAAAGCGAAGACACTCCCTCTCCTGAAGCTCACATCCAGGCCAGGCTCAGGGTCTAGAAAAGTGCTGTCAGGCTCATTCTGTAGGCAGTATTGCATTTTCAGGGGCCTAAAATTCCTCTGCTTCCAGCTATGAAAGGAGAAAAGCTCAGTGCTCCTAAGTCCCCTTATGAGAAAAAGAAGAGAGATGAAAAATGGTACATTGAGTGAAATAAACTGCAGAGGCTGCAATGACATAGTGAGTCCTGCTCTTTGACTTCCCTCACTGCAGGAAGCACAGATTTGTTCTTCAGTTCCCACTGGTATGATGGCCAGTGTGCCAGCTGACATGATCTGAGCCTTGTATTGTAAATCACCAAGCCTTGAGCTTCCATAGGTGTCACTTATCAGAAAGGTGCCAGAAAATACAATTGGATTTCAAAGAGTTTGGAAGGAGATTATGATGCTCACAGTTGCACCTCTGCCATTTTGTGTGCTCTATCTCTAATGTTCCTCATCACCTATTTCATAGTTTGCATAGAGGCTAGAATAAAAAGGTTTAAGAGTTTCTGTAACAGGTGATGCCAGAATTGTTTTACTATTTCTTATAGTAACCGTTGAAAAATATGTATAAAAAGCTACTGTATTTCAAACATAGAGTCCAACCTTAAAACATGGGGATGCCTTTCAGTCAGGTCCCTGGGTGTCAAAATAAATAAATAATTAAATGGAAGCAGCAGTTTTCCTTACAAATGCCTGACCAGGGTCCTTTGCATAGGAAACTATCCCAGCATACCTTGCTGATTAGAATATCCCTTTATATTTGTTGAAAACAAGCCGCTTCAGCTTGAAATGGACCATTTCTTAGGCGGTGAATATTTGCTGTGTCTCTTGTTTATAGTTAGTTGATACTCTTTTTAGGATTTTTCTGTTTCCTTTTTTCTTCCAATGAGCAGTAATGCTCTTTCTAAAAATGTCTTTTTCTTACTCTGTTTTTTTATGGCTCTATTTCTTTGTCCAGAGGAGCGTGGCAGCACAGTAGGTCACACTGCAGGCATGTCTGTGGCACCACATACTTCATATTCAGCTGTTCTCCATGCTGCAAGGGAGCAGCGCAGAGTTGGGGGGGGAGGGTTGGGAGGGGGTTGTTTTTTGGGAGGGGGTTGTTTTGTTTGTTTATTTTTTGTGGACCCCCTGGATATGAGGTCAAAAAACACCCTAAAAAAAGCAAAGCGCACACACAAGCAGTGCATGTTGCTCAAAACCAAAGCCAGGCTGGCCAGAGCCACAGTCTGGCTGCTGGCCAGGCTTTAAGCCACTGCTGCTGACCCAGGAGGCCCCCAGAACCTAAGGTAAAGCTTCTGGGGCCAGCCCAGTGCTGACCCCAGCCTCCCTACCCCACCTAAGATAACTTGCCATGTGCAAGAGAGTGCGTGGCACAGGCATTCACCGGGGGTAAGTAGTAGTGGCACAAGGTGCACCACTGCTGGTTGTCCCAGGGGAACCAAACGTCCATGCTCGTGTGGATGTAGCACATACGTTTGTTGTGAACTCTGTTTTGTTGGGTAATTCCTTGCCCTGTGTGCCCTCCTACTGTCTTGTTCAGTAGCACATTTTAGCTGTATGCATTCTGTCAGTTGTTTGGGGAGGTTTTATTTGTTTGTGTTTTTGTTGTATTTCTTAGTTTTGTGACTAATGACTAAATATAAAAAAGGCCCCTTAATTGTTTGATTTATTGGAAAAGAAACATATTGTAGGATGAGACCACTTCAGATGATTGTGTGTTTTAATTGATTCAGTTTGTGTAGAGGCTTTACTTCTTTTTGGTTTTGCAATTTAAGGGGGGGTGTGTGTGTGTGTGTGTGTGTGTGTGTGTTTGAATTTTACAAAACTGATCTCAGGAAAAAAAAATCTGGGTAGTTGACCTGGTAAATACATAACCAAGTATACAATTTTGTTCACATGAATACTCCCAGTGACTTCTTAAGAAATACTAATGCGGGTAAAGGTAATCATGGGAGTATAAATTTCCAGATTTGGGGCTAAGATTCGGTTTTTATTTAAAAATCTCTTCTCTGTGACACAAATACTTTGCCTAGACACTTTGCAGGCCAGTGTTATCAAACGAGAATCTAAACTTGGGCTTTTGGACCCATATTTAGGCAACCTTAGATGGAATCTTTAAAAAACACCTGTGTGACATCAGAGGACAAGTCTCCTTGACTTAAGACTGCAAATTGATGGAGAAGCATAGCCTTGTACAAAAGTTGCATAGACTATTTGATTATGTGCCGGTGTTGTTCTCACAATAAGGCTATTAATAAGATCCTGGGTTTTGACTTTTTTAGTCTAGATGAACATTTAAGGTGTCCAACTACTGAATGGGGGAAAAACCTCTATATAATCTAAAATTCTACCAATGACTAGGAACCCAAGGAAAAACAAATATGCCTGTGCACTTTAGTGAAGTAAGGATGCAGACACATGACAAAGCTATTCCCATGTCATTTCCTTTGGATTTTACTCAGTGAAGATGGGGAAATGACCAAATCTACTAGGCTGGGTGCCCAAAGTAGATGCCAGTAACAGCAACTGGCCACCAGGTGGCAAGAAATCCAGTTTGCTTTGAGAAAATGGCTATCCCAAGTGAAACATCAGGTCTTACAAAACTAATCTCAGGGAAAAAAAATGTCCATATTGCCTCTGTTTTGCCTCCAGAGCAAGTAATATACTCCTCCTGATGGTAGGCAAGCACCTTTCTAGGTTAATTAAACAGGATACACAAGTGTATATATAGACAGCACAAACTTCTGTGAACCCAAGTTCACTTCATCGGATAGTGGAATCACATCAGAGACTAGAAGGTTATGGGACATCAGGTGAAAGGTGACTCCAGACATTCTACCGAAGCCCCTATTTTTCAAGTGAGTGCAGTGTGTATATTGCAGTTTTGCCCATCCCACATATTCAAAGAAACATTAGGTAGGATTAAAAAACTATGAGGCTTTTAAAAAGGATAATACCGTATAGGTGTTTGCTTGCTTCTGGTCTGTGAAACTGCCTAGTGTACTTAGGTCATGTTTGCGAGCTTCTCTCTGCCACTGTGAGGGCTGAACTTATTTTTTTTTAAATTTTTTTTAATTAAACCCAAACCCACAAAATTCCAGCAGGTGGCATTTCAAAAAAGAGAGGAAATTAGGGAGTGGTGCTACTTTGCACTTTGATTGCCACTGATGATGTCATATACTGACTCCAGGGAAAAATGTTCAAAGGAAACCTGTTCAAGTGTTGACATTTCTCTTATTGGAGCACAGTAGCTAGTCCCCAGAGTCTGCCTGCCAGGCTGTCTCCACTGGAGGAAGAGTGGACTGCTTAGCTATGATCTGTGAACAAGCAGCTCTGCAGTCTCTTGGCTATATTGATCTTAGAAGGGTGATTTTTTTTCAGCAAATCTTTTTAAGTCGTGTACCAGCAATGGCTAGGAATAATACCCCGTCTGCACCAAAGCTCATACATCTCAGATCCAGTTAGTTGATAGCAGTGATTCTCGACCAGGGTGCTGTGGGACTTGGGGTGCATTAATATCCCTTCAGGAGTGCCCTGGGGTGTTTACCACCATTAGATGTGCAGACATGATTCATAAACTAAACCCAGAGATTTCTGATAGGAATCCTTAGTGTTAAAACCATGAGGCCTCTGTGCTCTGAGGTCTTTGCAACAGGAGGCTTGCTCTATTATTTCCCTACAGTCAAGAAAAAAAGTGAGAGCGAAGAGCTGGTGTTCTCTGACGGGTGCCTCGAGTCTAACAGGGTGGAGAACCACTGGTCTGTAAGGTAGGGTTACCGTATTTCAAGCTCCAAAAAAGAGGACACCTGTTTTGGGGGGGGGTAGTAATATGCCAGGGCCCTGCCCCTACCCCTTCCATTACCCCTCCAGACCCACAGTACCCTGCCCTCCCTGGGCCATGCTGGTTGCCCCTCCTGACCCACCTCCCTCTGGTGCTGCCAGTGCCCCATACGCCCAACCCACAGTCCCCACCCCGTGCCCGTCATTCCCAAGCCACAGCCCCCCAGCTCTGCTGACCTGCAGCCTCCTGCTCCCCACAGCTCTGCAGCACTCCTGGCTGTGAGCAGAGCAAGGGCACAGCCCAGCACGCACCTTCTCACTGCCCGTGAAGGGCCCCAATCCCCTTCCCCTGCTGAAGGGGTAAACGCTCCCCTGCCCTGCCGCAGCCCTGGTGCCCAGACAGCTTCCCCTACCTGCCCCCCACAGGGGGGGGTGTCCTATTGCCCTCCCCAGGCCCAAGCAGCTCCTTTCTAGGGCAAGCTAGGAAAAACTTCAATGCTGAGCAAAACCTGGACATTTCATTGATTATATTAAAACAAAACACAAAAAAACCCCGCCCCAAATGATGATCCCAAAAGAGGACACATTCGGGATAAGGCGCAGCTGTGCCTCTTCAGTCCCTCCTTTCTGCCAGCCTCGCCCTCCGGGCCGCTCTCATCGATGTCCCGCCCCCGTGCCATGCCCTGCAGGCCGCCGGCGGCTTCACACCCGGGCGAGCACCACGACGGGCGCTGTCCGGCCCAGGAAGGCCGGTTTGGCTCGAGGAGCTGGGGCCGCCTTCGCTGAGCCCCGCGGCCCCAAGGAGACCTCCGCGCGCCTGTCCCGGCGGACGCGCCACGACATGCTGGAGCTGGCAGAGGCGGTGGGCGGCGCCCCCTCCCAGGCAGCGCGGCTGGGGCGGCCCCTGGGGCCCC